CGCTTTCCCCAGTGTGGCTGTGAATCACTCATCCACGGTGTTTCTCATTCTCATCGAGCACCCAGTTGTGTGCCAGAGGTCCTGGGCCACATGCTTTCTACACCAGGTCTCACTTCATCTCTGCAGCAGCTGAAGGACTAGTGATGTGCTCTAGTCCCAGGCCTGTGAAGTCTCAAAGCCAGAATTTAAACCCCTGTTAGCCTGGCTCCATTCTCAAGACATTAGTTTATGCATCTTCACTCTACTATACAGAACTGCTCTTTGCTTTTCTTTCTTTTATTTCTCCCTCTCTCTCTTTCTTCAAAGAACACAAGAGCCCCCAGATCCACGCCATATCTGGACACTTTCCTCATTCCAAGTAGGGATTCTGTCATCATCATCACCAATCATAATTTCTCAGAATTATTCTGCACCCCTGATTAGCAGGAGTAGCCTGCATGCTTAATTTTCAAACAAGGGCAGCAGCACACTTGTCACAGTCATGTGCTCTGGTGATAGGTGCCATAGTTGGAATTTCAGCTGTGCTGCTCTCACCTTGGGAACCACTCTCTGCCTCGGTTTCCTCAGTTGTAAGTGGGAGGTTTAAATGGCTCCAGGATCACAGGTTTCTTGTGAGCTGGTGCATTGATGCAGTGGTAAGTAGGCTTGTAAGCAGTTAGATAGTATTTGGCACCTGTGGGTTGCTCCATCAACATGAGCCCTCATGGTGTCCCCAGATCTGCTATTCTCCCTCCTGAAGGCCCCATAAATTTAGAAGTTTAAGAAGTTTTGACCCTGCTGGAAAGCCTTCTGAAGGCTGATAGTAGAACCCTTGCTTTCTCTAGGGATTGCTCCCTGCTGCTGTTCCCAGCTGTGCGCCATCCTGCTGGTGATAGCACAAGGCTCCCGATGAGAGGGAAAAGGTTTCCCCAGTGGGTGGGATTGCATAATTCATTTTCTGGGGTGAGTCAGGAGGGGAGAGGTAAGCAGCTGCATGTGTTAGGTTCCTGGGATGGTCTCAGTCCCTCAGTTTGTCTGCACCCCTCATAGACCGTCACCTCCCGAGAAAGATAGAATTCTGTGGATGAAGCTTTACCTTTGAACAAAAAACCTGGAAACACTGGGATATTCCTGGGATCAAGCTAATTTCAGAACCCTTCTCAAAGTGGGGTTTCAGAAGGATGAGCTTGTAAAAAGGAGTCATCTTTTGACATTACTATAAGTCACTCCAATAAAACCAAAAGAACGGCCTTGGAAAAAGTGGGACATAAGAAGCTGTCATTTCTAGAAACCAGTTGGCTTCACTTAAAAAAAAATCATGCAAATAAAGGCATTCAGGCTTCCTTCCCCAGGCCTTCAGTGCAATGCTTCTTAAACTTAATGATTTTCACATCTAATTCAAGGAGAAATTAGTCATTAGATATTAAGACAAAAGCAAGCAGACTCCTGTCTTGACAAGGAGTCCCTCCTACAGGCAAAGAATTATCCCTGGAATAATTAAAATGCTTGCTGAAGTATAAAAATATTGCATCAACTGGAGTTGCCTTTGTTGAGCAAAAATCTTTCCCATCCCTGAACAAATGACAACTCGTTCAAGGTCAATGAGGTACTGGGGCCTAAAGAGATGCAGCGATTCAACTCAGATCATTTCTGAGCTGGAGACTGACATTTCCAGGTGGAACATCCTCAACAGTAGTCTGACTTGTGAGTGGGTGTGGTGGCTGGATACTTAGTTCTTCTCCAGAGTCTAAAGAGACCACACCTAACAAAAACGGGCCTACAGTGAAAGGGTACTGGAAGACCCCTTTCCTGGACTGTCCCTAAGCTGCCCTGCATTGTTGGCAATGCTTCCAGATCTAGCCATCTTAATTCCCAAAGAGTACAGTGATTGAGTAATGTGTTCTCTACCTACCAATGCACATAATCAGCTAGGGCTTTCAGGTTCATTTATCCCAAGGATGTACTGTGCTTACCCAAAGACATTCAAACCCTCTATAGTATAAAGTTAGGCACTGCTGGCATGACAAGCCCAACCTTTGTCACAGTACATTATACAGTCACAGTGTGCCACATGGTATAGCAAACTGACCTTCACTCATTCATCAAGAGAGATTCATAATGATGGAGCCTTAGCATCCAGTCAGTTTTTGTGCATAGACTTCCTTGCCCTCTGTTAACACCCAGAATATTTATTGTCTATATTTGTTACACATTCCACACTTTTAAACACTACACAGTCAACATTCCTCTAAATATTTGTACAATACTTAAAAAATAATATAGTTCTAACAATGAAAAGTTTAACATTTAAACATAGATTTTTTTTTAAAGTAAACACTTCTGGGCATTTGTTTGAAGTGTTATTTCTAAAAAGCCAGATTGTCATAAATGTTTAATACCCTGTAGAGGAGAGACCAAACGTACACGAAGACCAGTCTACTTAAAATAAATCAGGTTACAAGTGTACAAACACCTGACATTTAAAGTTGTTTATTTACCGTCTTTGTTCTTATTCATGACCTTTTCAGTTTTGGTTTTACTTTTATTTGTGTGTTTATTTAATCCCAGATCTGCCTTCCTAAGCTTTCAGTAATTTTACAAGCCTCCCTGGAAGCAGCTGAGGGCAACAGCCCTGGTGGCTTCTGGCCTCTGCGTAGTTGGGATGTGGGTGCCAGTTGTTCAGTCCGTGTTCTTCTGAAAGCCCGGTCATCCCACTCAGCCCATTCCCACGGCGAAATTCCTTTCCTTATGGCAAAGAATCCTTACATCCCTATGCTTTGTTGAGATTTTCATTTCTGAAACTTGGTGTCTTTCCCAGAGCTGATAAATTTTAAGCTTTGTGTATCTGCCAGTCCCTAGTCCATTGTTCTGTCAGTGTGATTTATTGAGCTTGTCTGTTAACGTTATTAAAAACTTATGTATCTCTTATTATTATTTTATTCTAATTAGTTGGGCCATTTAGAGGTTCCATCTCCTAGGAGATGCGATTGAGCCTGAGTAATGAGCTCTCTTCTTTAGGACAGCTGGCTAATTCATCACCTTGGAATGCAGAGTTCGACCGTCTGCCCACCTGTTTACTTTATATGGGAATGGATTCATTTTTCCAGCATTTGGTATAGTACCTGTTACATCCAAAGTCTGGCTCTTGTCTCCTCTAATTACATGGGTGGAAACAAGTATACCACATGTTCCATGTTCTTCGTTACTCTCTCCACTATCCTGATTATACAGAACAGAGTTACCCTAACTTGAGTCACTGGCTCGCTGCATTTACAGCTTTTGCCTTACCTTCGTACAACCTGTACTATGATTTATTATTATTTATATGTGACTTTTCTTAGAATTAGACCTAGACTTATTCCTAGAATTATTGTAGGCCATAAGATACGAAGTATCGGTTGGCTTCTTTTTGGCTTACTTTTGTGTAAATACAGCCATCCCACTGTAGGGTCCCGCATCCACAGTTCCAATCACTGCAGACTGAAGATAATCGGATACAAAGTTGCATCTGTATTGAACATGGACAGACTTTTTCTTATCATCGTTCCCTGGGCAACATATAACAACTGTTATTTACGCAGCATTTATGCTATATTCTACAGTGTAAGCTAGAGTTGGTTTAAAGCACACTGGAGAATATTCTTCAGTTATCTGCAAGTGTGATAGCGTTTTATATTAGGAACTTGAGCGTGCATGGATTTAGATATGGGGGGAGGTGGAACCAATGTCCTGCAGATACAGAGGGGCAACTCCCACATTAAGGCATAAGTGTTGGCCTCATCTAATCAGAGCCCTCTGTGCCCTGCCCAGATACCTCATGCACTATCACTGCGAGGCCGAAGACCGCATGCCAAGATTCTAAGTGGTGGAAATATCCAATTCTTGTGCTTGTTTTCAAAGGATTTTTTAAAAACCTCATTTTTAAAAGTACTGGTGTAACCGGAAGTGTTGGTGGCTTATGAAACCACAGGCTTTAAGAAAAAAAGGAGTCCAATAAAATCAGAATGAGCAGTGAGACCTCAGCAGCCGTTGCTCTCTGGCTGTGTTGGGACTTACACCCATGGAGTGCTTTTGTGCCACCTCTCACCGGAGCCCTGAGCCTGGGGCTGGGGGCAGGCTTGGTCCAGGCTGCACTGGGGGGCGAGGAGGAAGGGGCACGTGCAGCAGAGGTGTAAGAAGGGCAGTGTGGTAGGCAAGAGCCCCAAGCACAAGACCTGGACAAGGAGGAGCTGAGTACAGGTGAGCGAGGAACAGGAGAAGCCTACAGGACTGCGCAGGGTGAAGAAAGGAGTGCACTTGGGAGTGTGATCAGGTCACTGAGGGCGTACAAGGAGCCAGAGCAGTGTAGATTTCAGACACCATGGAGTATGGAGCTGGAAAATGACCGTGCTGGTATCACGGGCTACCATGCAGGGAATAACTATTGACAGTGCTAATCAAGACCCCAGGAGCATTGTCCCTGATCCCCCAGGGAGAGATGGTAGGAACTTCTTTCCTGGGAGGTGGTGAGGAGAGGCTGGAGTTGGCTTGTTTCATTTCTTTTTTGAAACTGCTAAGAAATATATTTCCTTGACATACATATACAGTGTTGGGTACCTTGGATAATAGGCATATTGCCATACTTAAATATGTTGATATGTGTTTAATTTAGATATATTAGTTCCCCTTTTAAGAAACAGAGTCTAAATTTCTTTTTTTGGTAGTGGTGGTGAGGAACATCATATGACTGTTTGAAAATGTTTCGATGTTTCTAATGAATTGTAAGAAAAGGCACAATGGTCTCCCACTTTAGGAGAACATAGTTTAATTGGTGAATACCAGTATATGATTTGAAGCCGTGGTTTTCATAAGTATGAATGACTTGTATTGCATAGGTTTTGGCCTCAGCAACCAGGTGTCTTCTGATGCTGCTTACAAGGATGGGCAAGCATGGGTCAAAAGGACTGCTGGAGCTGGAGGCCCTAGGATTAGAGCTCAGTGTGTGTGACACCTTGATCCCTGACCTTCTGTGCCCCCCACAGTGATCCCGAAGGTCACCAAGCACCTGCTATCCAACCCCGTGTTCACCTGCATCATCCTGGCCGCCTGCATGGAGATTGCAGTGGTGGCTGGCTTCGCTGCCTTCCTGGGGAAGTACTTGGAGCAGCAGTTCAACCTCACCACCTCATCTGCCAACCAGCTGCTTGGTGAGTGTGTCCCTCTGTTGTTCTGTCCCACAGCTTGTGCTGTGAGAATTTACAGGAGCCCTAAAGAGCCCAGTACTGTGCTGGGCTTGTGTATACAAGGAATTTCCATGTGCATTCTCAGGGTAGGATTTATGAGGCAGTTACTGTAGCAATGATGAGAAGGGAAAAATATAAAATCTGCATAGGAAACATTATGAGAGGCTAGGAAGTTCAGAGATTGGCATGAACTAGAAAATTTGAAGAAGTTGTTATAAAGGAAGAGGGCAATCAAGATGAATCTTGAAAGGTTAGCATGTGTTTGTCAGTCACATAAGAGAGCAAGAGTATTCTTGCCAGCATGAAACCCATAGTTAAATACAGAGCTCGGAAGGCATCCCACGCCAGTGCCCAGGGCAGACATAACTAATAGATTACAGCACTTCTTCCCAGAGTCAGGCGTATCTTTATAGTTCTTCTCAATAATGGTTGCAGGCATCTCCTCCCACTGTTTTCCATGACAGACATGGTTAATGAATCACACCGCTCCTTCCCAGGATCAAGCATGCCTTTCTAGTTCTTCTCAGTCACAGATTTCAGGCAGCTTCTCCCAGTTGTTTGGGTTGGCACACTAAGAAAATCAATTTGCCTTCATGAGAAACAGGATGAGAAATGTGGTCCCATGGCCTGCCTCTCATAGTTTGATTTTCATTTTGTGCTGGTTTATTTGGCCTTAACTCTCGCAACAAGAAGCTGTATTATTTGAGCTGATGAGTTTAGATCTTGATTAGCAAGTCGACCAAAAACTCAGCAATTGAGGCCCAGGGAAAAGAGGGAAGAATCCACTCTGTGTTTCTAGCTTCTCCAGCTAGTTGTGCCATTTGTGAAAAGTGGAAACAGCGGGGAAGGATCAGATCTGGGGAGATCTTGAGTTCAGAGCTGAAACTGCCAGGCTTGAGATGCCCAAGAAATGTCTGTGTAATGTACTTTACTGAGCCGAGGACTCGAGCGGGTGCCCGGGTTAGTGATGTAGAATAGTGTAGTGTTACAGTAACGTATTTATAGTAATAGAGATTCAACTGTATCCACAAATGGGTGGTGGCTGAGGAATAAGAATAGAATTTATATGAGGAAAGTGTATAAATTTAACAAAAAACAGGGATGAATCCCCAACCTGAGGATATCAAGGAGTCTGCAGAGCAGTTTAGCAGCATCCAGAAGAAATCCAGAGAGTGCAGGTAATGGGCAACAAAGGAGGCAGAATTCCAAGCAAGAAGTGAGGCATGGCCCAGATGTCTCGCCAGCTCTGATGAGGGCGGGTGTCCTGTGCCCAGACTATGTGTGCTGTGTCAGTGGCAGAGCCCATCCTGTAGTGTGGAGGGTGGCCCGGGACGAGGGAAGAGCGGACAGGGAGCACCTGCTCCACAGAGGAAGGAAGGAGCCCTCAGCATGTGATGCACCTGGGGGACAGGAGAGACTTGAGCAGGTTTCTGAGCAGAGAGAAAGGAACCAGTGGAAGGTGATCTGCAGAAGAGAGGGGCGGAGGATAGGCAGCCCAGGACAGAAAGCTCATCTGCTTCCCTGGAGAGCAGAGAGGGACGTGCAGCCCTGCTGAGGGTGGAAGAGAGGGCCAGCATGGGGTGGAGATGGGGTCTGCCCCATGCACTTTATCTTCTCTCCTAAGTAGGGGTCAGATCCATGGAGAGGAGTGGGGGGACTGTGATGCTTTCCCAGTTTATCCTCCAGCATCTCCCATCACTTCACAAAATGCCAAGGGGCTGAGTGTCAGATGCACAAGCTACAAGGAGAGGCTTTGACAGCCGAGTGCCACTGAGGATGTGAAGCGCCTGGAGCTCTGACACTGCAGCTGCGAAGGCACAGTGGGGCGGCCACTGGGGAAGACCCTCGGGCCCCTGTCAGAGCGAAGTGTGTGCCTGCACTGCGCTCTGGCAGCTCTGCTCCTGGCCGTCTGTCCAGCACAAATGAGTGTTTAGGTCTCTGAGTTCTATATGCATATGTAATGACGTTCAGAGCAGCTTGATGAATAATAAGCTCAAACTGAAAACAACCCAAATGTCTGTCCACGCAGAATGGTAAACAAATGAGGGGCTTTTTGCACCGTGTGAACTGTTTCACAGCATGAGAAAGAAGTAACCTTGGTTTGGGCTTCCATGTGGACGAATCTCGGTGTTGGGCGATATCAGGCACAAATGATAATGTGTTTATAGGCATTAAAAAGAGGAGTAGTTAATGAAGGTGAGGGAGGCCGGGGGGTGGAGGACTGAGGAGGCAGGGAAACCAGGGAGCTCCCTAGGCTGCTGAACATGCCCTAACCTTGGCCTGAGCAGTGGTCACAGGAAGGTGTCCAGATGCTGGAGTTCATCACCGGGCTGTTCCCTCAAACTTGGGGCACTTTCACAGCACATAGCATCTCAGTTAGACTCCAGAATCAAACCTACGGCTCACTGATGAGCCGTATAGTGGTCGCCCCTCCCTGGAAACTGCTAGGGGAGGGAACATACACTTTTTGTTTCTTGGGGTTTTTGGGTTTTTTGTTTGTTTGTTTTTTCACCAGTAAGTCTTTCCCACCCTCTGTATTGTAAGTTTTGCTTCCAAGAGGGATTAGCCAAATGCCACCAGCCTTTAATAGGCATCTGACAGAGGGAGGGTAAAATGGGCCTCTATATGATTAAAGTGAGAATTTCTCTTCTATCTCTCACATTCTTGCCCTGCAGCACAGGAGGGCGAATCTCCCTCTTCTGGATAACTTTTGCTACTCCTCCCTACGTTGTGATTACAACAGCACACTTGCTTTGGCTTCAAGATTGTGTTCCATTTTGGAACAGATGCTTAAGTTTCCTATCAACAAACAAATCGATAGTCTTCAGGGCAGAAGGTCAAAAAACCAATTTTGCCTTCTTGCTCCTGTTTGTCTCCCAGTAATTTCTGCCTATTAGAGCGTTTTTGTGGGCTAGGGGCTGGGGGCTTCTCCTGTCTGGGCACCGAAGCAGGCAGCACAACGTCCTCTCCCTGCGACCTGTGTGCAGCATGGCTCCATCAGCCCCAAGTCAGAGGGGCTGGAAGGGGCAGTGGGGAAGCTCTTTGAGGGAGCTGCTGTGTGGTTATCCCAGGGCATCACGGCAGGACTCTGGGCCGCCCACAATGTCACCTGCAAGTGGGGCAGAGTCAGAAAAGAGCAACACAATGCGGGTGATGGAGTGGCTGATGCTGCTGATTTATGAGTGAAATAAAAAGGGCCCCATCTGCATGCAGTAACGTAATAGGATGGAGTTTTGGTGGACAGCGCTGATGACCCCCCGGGTGTTAAGGACACCTATGCACATGCTGGGAGGCTGATGACAGCTTGGAGGAAAGGTGCCTGAAAGCCTGTTGTTGCCATGGTTACCACTGCCACCGGGTGACACCCCCACGTTCTCCACTAGAAAATGAGACAAAAAGCCAGGCCCCTCTCTGGGATGTGCACACGGTCGCTGACGCTCAGGCACACAGATCCAGTCTGCACTGACTCATTTATTCTGAAAATGACACCCTATGCCTATACCATGCCAGGCACTGTGTTAAGGCACTGGGAACCTGGGCTGGACTAAACAGAAAGAATCAAGAGGTTCTGGTGGTCGGGAAAGCTGCATCCAAGAGAGAGTGAGAATAAGAAATGAGAAATGAAAAAATAAATGAGGCAGCTTTAGACAGCAGAGAGAGCTGTGGCCAGACTGTTGGTTGAGAACAAGAGGGCCCCCCAGTGCTGCTGCAGGTCTTCTCTGGAGAAGGCCAGGGTGTCCCAGGATGGGCACTGCAGCTCCAGCATCTCGGGACTTGAGCTCACTGGCCTTTTCCAGAGGGAGGGAGGGTGGGAGGAAAGGCAGGACAGAGTGGGGAGAGATATAAGGGGAGGGCCATGGCCTGGGACAGGGACAGAGACTCATGCAGGGCAACCTCATGAAGATTATTTCTGTACCAAGGGAGGAAAACCAATCACAGATTTCCCAACAACAGCAGATGCCACAGAAGTGTGTGTTGTTGTAAGTATGACTGGTGCTATTTTCTTGCCGAGCTAAGCCTCCCCGATTACATTTTCTTACCTTAATATTAAAATTAATTTGCATTCCCTTAGCACATACCAGCTGGTTGATGTAGTTGATTGACCTAGAGGTCGGTTGATTGGCAGGGAAGAGGCAGCCTGGACTGGAAAATTGGCCATGCATAATCTACGTGGTAGATAAATGACAGGCAGTAATTGAAAGCAGAGTTGGAAATGAAGTGAATCAGAACAGAGCCAAACCAAACAGGAGATTGGAACCCTAGGATCCACTGGTCCTCCTGAAATTCTGTGGACCTCTTAGAATCCAAAAGGACAGATTTAGGACCTGCCATGTTGCAGATAGCTCTGTGTATAAGCAAGAGAGAAAAACAAAATGTGCATGCACTGATTATTCACCAAGACACCAAACCTGTTGATGTGACCGAGGCTGCTTCCTGAGGAGTGGCGGGCTGGCTGAGGTAGTCTGAGGAGGGGTGAGTTCTGGGACCTCTGGCTTCAACTGTCTCGGCTCCCTGTGGAGCCCTTGCTCCTTGCCTCCTTAGAGAAGATTCCCCAAATGACCCTGAGCCCCCTTCCATATCACCCCAGAAAGGCAGAGAACACATTCCTGCTCCGCCATATTTGTAGTTGTAAAGTGCCTGCCTGTGTTTCCGGTCTGGCTTTGCTCTTGCTTGTACCCATGTTAGCTGTGTGTTTCCCGTGATTCATCAGGGGTTCACAGGTGTGTGCGGTAAGATGTGTGGTATCTGAGTGTTTTCACACCCTTTTTCTGGGAGCTCTTAGGGCAGAAATTAAGACCTTGGAGTTCTGTCCATCAGCAACACCGCAGTGGGATCATGGGGGACTCTCAGGGTTCAGCCTCAGGCCTATGGGTGCCCCTCTCCCTTCCCCTCATTGCCCTCCATCTGTGCTCCTTCCAGGGATGACAGCCATCCCGTGTGCCTGCCTGGGCATCTTCCTGGGAGGCCTCCTGGTTAAGAAGCTCAGCCTGTCCGCCCTGGGGGCCATCCGGATGGCCATGCTCGTCAACCTGGTGTCTACCGCTTGCTACGTCTCCTTCCTCTTCCTGGGCTGTGACACGGGCCCCGTCGCTGGCGTTACTGTTCCCTATGGAAACAAGTGAGTACTATAAACGCCGGCTTTACACCTGTGTACCGGGGTGCCAAGGCTGTCTGCCCAGTGCACGTTAATAGAGCCAGCTTGGTCTCTGGTGACTGAGAGAAGACACCTCACCTCTTATATCCCAGCTTGCAGATTCAGACTCTTCCCGCGGCACTCAGCAAAGCCCCCGACGGGATGTGAGGGTGTCACACACCCCCGAGATCACTCCAAGTGCTGTGTTTGGTATTTGACTTTAGGAAAGCTGGAAAGAGAGAAAATAGAAATAAACTGCATTTCAAACTTCAGCTTAAAACAAAAGACACAAGCCATTTCAATAATTCCTTAACGAGCAGACGCTGACATCGCATTCCTATAGCAACTTCATGTTCCTGCCCCTGGTAGTTTTTGTGAAGTGAAGCAGAGGAAAAGGGAAATAAAACAGGCAGAAGGAAGGAGAGAACGGGCAGGACGTTTGAAAGCTCTTACCCCGGTCTTTATACCAGAGTCCCGTCAGCACTCACGATGACCCCCCAGGGAAGACGGAGCGTCTCTGTCCCAGTCCCCCTTCTGCACAGCATTCTGAGGCTGCCTCAGCCCAGCCTGGAGCTCCGTGCTGAGGCACGGCAGCCTGCAGCTCACCCTTCCCTTGCTATCCACAGCACGTTTCCTCCACCAGGTCTGCTCCTGCTGTTAGGCCGAGCATACAGTAGAGCCAGCCTCTGTGCGCCTGAAAGGGTGAGCAGGAAGAACAGAGGTCTGGAGCAGCGGCAGCTGTCTGTAGGTCTGTAAGGCATTCAGGCACCATGTTCCCCTCTGCCTCCTTGCCGCCAGCTCTGAGTGGCCTTTGCCACCCTCCCCTCCAGGCCCCCGTCGCTCCCTGTCCAGGCCTGGTGCCTTCTGGCCTGCACTTGCTGTAAATCCCTCCCTGGCATCTCCCAGCCCACACCCACATGCGGTAAAGATTGCAAAGGCAGGGCGTCACCATGGCAACACTATGCTTCTGCAGAAAAGGGAGAAGAAAGCACAAGACCTGGGGTCACATTGCTGCTGCTCTACTCAATCTGCTCCCAATTGTGAGCTGTGTCCATTTGGACAGATGACTTAACCTGGCTGTGCCTCAGTTTCCCACTCCATAAAGCCCAAGGAGTTCTACTGAACATAAGTGAAGTACTATGTAGAATAGTTTGCAGCTGAGTACAATATCTAACCTGACAAATGCACCATCTTCATCTTTATTCTCCTGTGGTCCCCTGAGCCTTAGAGGACAGAGCTGAACAAGAGTCACTTTCTCTCTATGGGCCAAAGACGCCCTCTCTGCTCCTTTTCTCTTTCCCTGGTTTGTGTGCTCTGGGTAAGTGTGCCTCCAATGACGTAAAGGAAAATTGAAAGTGTCTTAGTGAAATCGCTTGGATATTGAATCAGACAGACAGACAGACAATAATTATGGAAGCCAGTCTGGTTGCAGCCACGTCCTGACCACCTTAAGGCTTCCTGTCTGCTGGGGAGGAATCGGACAGAACTGAGGACCAAGCTGAAGGGGAGGAAGTTCAGCCATGGGAGGGGAGCTGGCATCATGGACGGGGCGGGGGACCCTGAGCTCCAGCTGCGGCCAGCCCAGAGGGCCCTTTCCTCGTCTTGCAGGAGAGGAGCTGGAGCTGGCCTCAGCTGCTACCCAGCCTGGCCCTGTTACACTGGGCACAGTCTGCAGTGGCCCTCGATCCTTGCAAGACACAGAGGGTTAAAATGGCAAGAAGACAAGGAAGAGAGGCCAGGGAAGGTTTCTCCGAGCACCAGCGCCTGTGGCCGGTTGCCACAGAGGGCACAGCGAGGTCCCCGGGGATGACCCGTTGCAGACTGACCTGTTTCTAAGGGCTCCGTCTCTCCCTTCCTCTCCAGCTCAGTGCGTGGCGTGGCCCTGAACCCACACTCGTCCTGCAATAAGAACTGCAAATGCCAAACGGACTCCTTCACTCCAGTGTGCGGGGCAGACGGCGTCACCTACCTGTCCGCCTGCTTCGCAGGCTGCAACAGCACGGTAATGGGAGCTTCGGGGGGAACATGTGGGGGTGCAGGCAGCCAGAGTAGCTGCCAGCCCAGGCCAGGGCGGAGCGAGCAGAGGGAGTGCGCCTGCTGTTCCCCATCACAGCGGTGTTCTCACAGCCTCGGCCTGCTCTAGCGGAAGACCCTCCATCAGGGTCGTGCGAGGGCTAGCCAGCCACTCAGGGGTGCTTCCAATGCTGCATGAAGCAACGGAAAGTCAACAGTGAAAAGTAGCTGTACCTGTGAAGCTGGAGGAAAAGGTAGCTCAGGGCACGTGCACAAGTTGTCAATGGAATCGCCTGTCTGCCTAGGTCGTGAGTGCCCCATCCTTAGAAGCATGTAAGGAAAAAAAAAAACAGAAATTATTTATCAGGAAAATATTTCAGAACTGAGACCTCTAACTTCCCTTACTTCCCTTTCTTCTTTCCACTAAATACCTCCTACCTTTTTCATCTTCCCAACCACACTTTTTTTGTTTGTTTTGTTTTTGTTTTGGCTTTTTCTTCTTGGCGTGACTTTTGTGGTTGGCTGTGAGCTCGAAGCCTTCTGTGTTCTCAGCATGAAAACCTGAGGCCAAGTGACACAGTCATGGTGCCCCTGCCCTCCTGGGTCTCTCAACCACTGCCCAGGGGTGTAGACCTATCCATCTCCTGCATGGAGCACCCCAGGGGCTGCCTCCCTGCCTCCCAGGATGGCCCCTTCCATTCTGTCTCCAGAAGGGTTTCTGTAACAGTGCAGGGGATCCTTTCTGATGCTACCCTGCCAACCAGCAGAGAAGATCCAGGCCCTGAGCCCTATCCCTGTGCATTTTCACTTAATGGCTTCAGCTTGTTTTTAGTTTGTGTTCACTTTTCCCACACAGCCTGTCTTTTTGTACTTCTCTATCCAGTTAGACAACTCCTGCTCACCTCTCAATACCCTACTCAAATGCCCCTGCCTCTGAAATACTCCCTTCCCTCCATCCTCTTTGGAGTCCTTGCCTCTGAAATCTGGCCCGTGTCCTACCACCATTATGGCCAGAAGTGTCTATCACCTGCTCCCACCTGCTTATTTTGCAAGCAAGGGCCCCAGAAGTGCTATGTAAATGTCCCCAGAATGCATGGACAGGAGGGAAAACATGAGGCCCAGGCTGCTCCTCTCAGGAGCTAGGATCGAAGGCATTCACTTCCTCCCCTCCCAGATCCTGGATCTTACAAAAGCAGCAGTTTCTCGGAAATGAAGCAAAATGGATCATTTATTTTCATTTTCAAAGACTCCATTTTCCTGGGCTTTTAACATTTGGAATCCTGGCCGATTATTAACATTTTCTATAGACAAAATACTTCACCATGGTGGGGGAGGCCGGATGGGAGGAGCAGAGTTTTCAAAAATTAGGTCATAAAAGCAATTTCTTTACAAGAGTAGAAATAAATATTAAAAATGGTCTGGGGCTTCGAAAAAGGTTAAAACAAAAGCACAAGATCTTATTTTTCATAACAATTTCATTAACAGTTCAATATCCAAAAAGTCACGTTACAAATCAGCCTTGCTTGTTGTCCTGTTCTGAGGATTGCATTTGTTTCTCATCGCCTGCTGTCCTGACACCGAACAAATCTTTACCGTGGGGAGTTCACTGACCGAAAATGGTCTTAAAGATTCCATGGTCTTGCACGTACAGAGGCTCATTGGACAAAAGCCTAACCATGGTCACCTCTGGCTGCTGAAACAGCAAAGCTGTGGGATGCAGTGAGGGGACTGCCGGCCCCTCTGCTGCTCTCCGGATGTGGAGTTTGTCCCCAGTGCTAGCCTTGCCTTCACTACCCAGAGGCCCCCACATCACATCATCTGGGAGCGGGGGAGGCTGGGAGTTCGTTCTCTCCCAAGAGCCCCCAGACTGGGCTAGGCCAGGCCAGGATGGGGGCTTCTGGTCTTCCTGTAAATGTAGATATCTGGATGCCCTGACTTCAAACAGGTAGAGACGGACTCAGGGACACAGATTCAGGCTCCCCCAGAAAGCAGCACTTGTAACCCTCAAGCTGCAAAGAAAAACAACAACCACAGGCCAACAACACAGAAAAACAACAACACAGCCACCCCGCCCTCCTTTCCTCCTCCTCCATCTTCCTTCTGGTCTCCAAGTTCTTAACGAAGCTCTTGCAGCAAAAGGCCTCTGAGTATCTTACCTCTTTCCCCTTAGCACACAGATTCTTCCTCCAGGCCAGGGGTCTCTGCTTACCCGGCCGGAATCCACCCTGCTTTCTCAGCTCCATGAGCCTCTCACCTGAGCTCAGCCCCATCTGTTGGGTTGTTTGTGCCTCAGTCACGGGGAGTCTGTGTTCCTTTCAGTCCGCAATCAGAGGTGAGGTTGGTCTCCTCTTCGAGGCACACAGCAGAAATCAGTGGGACACAGCCACTGTGCAACACCAAACCCAGTGTCTTCTTCTGCACTCTTAGTGTGCCCTTTCTAGGACCCATGCCTCTTTCTACTTGAAATGACCTCCTCATCCATGCTGTCCACAGTCAGGACAGTCAGTCTGCACCATCTGGTCCTGGCTGCCTCTCTAGCAGCCCCTTGCTAAGTGGAAACATCTTCACATTCCCCTGGCACACCAAGCTCTCCCTGCCCCTGGACCTTTTCACATGCGGTTCCTTATACTGCATCTCAGAGAGTCTTCCCTGGTTAGGCCCTGTCCTATGTGTTGAAACTCAAGGGACATCTCCTACCTTGTTACTTTCTCCAGTCCTGTGGTGGTGCTCTTCCCGCCAAACCTACCAAACCTGCTCTCACCTAGCAAAGCTCGCTTCACCTGTTCTGATGGCTGACTGGTTGCAATGTCTCCCTCACCAGCTCGCATTCCTGGTGCCAGCTGTGGCTCCCTGTCAAGGTTTCAAGCTCTGTAAACGTCCTGTTGGCCCCCATCCTGACCTCAGAGAAGTAACGGGTGATAATGACTCTGTCTTGTACGTCAGTTGACCTGCAGATAGATTGTATGGAACTGACTCCAGAGTAACAAGCTAACCCTCCCGTCTCACCATAATTTCCACCCAGACCTGTGAGCATTTCCCGTAACTCCTTTAGATGTGAGTAAGTCCACCAGTCAAATAGTTCTGAGAAGAAGGGAGATCTGGCCAGGGTTAGCAGTTTACTGATAGGAGACTTTCTTTCCTACCTTGGTTGAGGTTTCTGTTTTCATTTTACTCCTTTCATAACTCTGTAAGTGATAGCAATGGAAGATTCCAGGCCTGCACTCCATGAACGATTTCCAGTTCTTCTCATCACACATGACCAGGAGGGTGGCAGAAGGATTGCGAGTTAATTTTGTAAGCTTCCTTTGGCGTGAATATATTGTCCAGATTGTTTCAGTACCTTTCACTTTCCAGAGTAATTATTCCAGCAGAGAGAGTGTTAGTGCGTGGCTGGCTGACTGCTGGAAATTGTATCCTTTTGATGTGCTGAATAATTAACTAAAAAGAAAAAAACAGCTTATATCAGCCACCAATACGATGTTGAGAGTCAATACGAGCCCCGCACAGCCGTTTGTAGGCTGCTGATGACAGACCACTAATCCATCCGCCGTCCGATCCATGAACATTTACAGAGCCCTTGTTTTAACCAAGCAATGAGTGGGTTCTGTGAGGCACAGGGGCGGCCCCATCACTGACTCCGATTTACAGCCCCCAGTCTCGCCTGCATGTCACCAACTCCCGGGAACGTTTGCAACAGGAACCCTGAGCCCACTCTAGAGATTCTGGTTCCCTCGTTCTAGGGTAAGAGCCAGGCGTAAGGATTGTTTAAAGCCCCTTCCCCAGACTTTGACGTGGAACCAGGGTTGGCACCCACTGCTGTCATGCGAGGCCTCTCGACCTTGCTGTTCCTGATACATCGGGCTATGTTGGGATTCTTCATCGTGAGGATCGGCCGTCCGCACTGGGCTGTCCCACGTCATCCCTGATTCTGCCCCCTCCCACCTCTCTCCCCCGCTCCAAGTCCTGGCAAGCAGCAGGGCCCCAGCAGTGTCAGGTATCCTTGGAGAACCCAATCACCCCGCCTAAAACTTCTGCTCTAGGAGTAGGAAGGCACATGTCTGGGCATTTTCCTCTTTTCAGAAACAGGACATGCTCTGAGCTGCCACTGAGTGCCTGTCCTTGCATCTCTGTTTCTGTCTCACTGGTACGTGGTGTTTGTCTGCCTGGAATCCAAACTGGGCGCACAGGTCGTGCACAGGGGCCACACCCGCACATGGCAGCAAGAGGCGGGAACTGGCTGCTTCTGTGTCTGTGTGAAGATGCATTTCCTGCCACCGGAGCCAAAGTGTGAATGGCACTCATTTGGGGCCCCTCAAATGTGGATCTGGGTTTCTGGCCTCTACGAAGCAGGAAGATGGCTAATGTGGGGCCATTGCTCAGATAGGGAGGGCGTTGTCGGCCGGAGCTCAGACACATGGACAGCACTGCGGACGACATACTTGATCTCTGCTTACGCACGGCCCACACCACCAGCCACCCTAGTACCTGAACCATTTTCCTCACTTATGTTTGCTACCTGGCCTCTAGATAAAAAGAGACGTAACACAGTTAGCGTTACCTATGGAGAAGTGCTCAAAAGCACGCTTGGTCCTGCCTTACATGGTTACAAGTGGAAGGAACTCACTATAAAACAACACACTGACTGTGAAAGAAAAACCTTTTGTAAGGAAACACATCTAGATATATTTATATCTCTGGTTAGGAACTAAAGAGCTAATTTCTGTATATTTCTTTTAGATGTTCTATACATTTCAGGACTATCTAAAATGCAGTCATTCTTCTAATAAGGAAAGGCTTTTTTTAAAATAAAATAACCAACGTCAAAGCTTAGGTGGTTCCATTCAAATAGAGGAAAGTGACTGTGTTGAGCCTTTCACGACCTGAGAGGGCATCTCTGCTGGGGTAGAAATCTGTCCTGGTGGGGCGGTGCCAGGGAGAAGGCATGGACATCCGTCGAGGATCAAGCCTGTGTCATGAAGGACGGGTGGG